AGTGCCTTGAAAAAGAAGGTTAGGCAACAAGCATAATCTACATTTCTTGCAAACTTATTGCAATAAAATTGCAACTTTTTAAGCGCCTTCAAATGAACGTATAGGCAACAAGCAAAAATTGCAATCAACTCACAATCCATTGCAATGAAATTGCAATCCATGCTACTTGGGTTTAGGTTGGAATCTGTAGCTGGATGTGATGAAATGAGTAAAATTTTAAATTGTGATCGCAGCGGTGTGAAAATCGGCGGCAACTCCGCCGCGACGTGAATTCCTAGAAATCATGTCAAAGTTTCAAAAAAGCGTAAAACATGAACTGACTTTTCGAATTTTGTTTGGTTTGGGCATTTTGCTTCAACACGGAGTTGCAAAATGTACAGGAACGAGTGTCAAAATTTGGTGTCGGGCGTGTTGCTGAATATTTAAATCGCTGTAACTCATACTCCGTAAGCCTCTCAGAAAAGTATAACATATCAATGGATGCGAAATGGAACAAACAATAATTCCGACAGGTTTTTATTCAATCCCCACCAACTGCAAACACTAATAGGCGTTAACGTGATTTTTAATAGTTACGTAAATAAAAAATGGCCAAAACGTGGCAACAGTGGACTCAAATTACAGTTTCTTCCGCACAGATCGATAGAACGTAGTTTTCTGCGTTTTTCAGGTATACATACAATTTCTACAACTGCATTTTTGCAAAAGTTATGGATGTTTGAAGATTACAACTTTAAAAAATGGCAACGCTGTTTCCCTAGGGTACCTGTAAAAACCCAGCTAGGGATAAGCCTCTCTCAACTAGTACTATTAGCCTACAAAGTTTCGTACATTACGAGCCAGGTACATTTTTCGCCTACATGAATAACCCTCTTTTGAATGTTGATTAAAATTCAGATATAAATTTCACATCCTTGATCAGAGAAAAGACAATTTTCTTGAAACTTTTTTTTTTTGAAGGAAGTTTATTTAAATATAACGTAACTACTACAAGTATTTCCTTGTGTCTATCCACATAATTTGAAACTAAAACTAAACGAATTGCATTAAATTTACAGGGTAACGTTAGATAATTCAATGATTGGAAACTTTTCAAATCCACAGTTATTGACAGCCACACAACTAGAAGCTGTTTGTAAGGTTCTCCACAATAGTTTACATTGTACATTTTCTGTTCTAAAAGCCTCAATGTAATTTCTGTTACAGGTTATTTTTCAACATTCTTGGACTTATAGTAGTTTATTTCACATCAATAGTTATTAAGAATAATATAGTTCCTGTATATTACTATCCAATGCTAGTCTTAATGTACTGTTTTCATCAGGTAAGTCTCTCATGTGCTGCACATACAAGCAGGATCGTTGCCCCTGCAAAAAATAGTTTTCCATAACCCGCCATACATCATTCAGACGACCACAGAAAATAGTTCGGGCATGAACTCTTTGTGAAGAAAGCCTTAAACCCTCACTAGTATGGCATCTATCTCTTGCAGCGCTTGCGTTTTGCTTATGCCGCGTCTCTACTCATTGCAGCATGCATCGAATCGCGAGTGCCTGAAGACCAGGGGCCGAATTCTGTCGGTTCTTCCACCGTACTTAAATGTACTTGAGACGAGTCTTGGCTGCACTCAAGTCCAACCTAGTGCCTCTGATTGGCCGGTGGTGCGGATGTTGCACCTCCTTGGGAAAGAGCCAACAAAATTCAGCCCGAGGACCGCACACCTTATCTAATAAAATTAGTTGACCTCTTTACCGATTATGGGAGAGAGGGCTAATTCATCTCTATGAGGTAACTGTTATCGTCAGTCTAATTTCATCGAGGAGAAGAGCAGATGATGTCTATGCTCCTGGCCCTGCTGATAGCTAGCTGCTGCTGCTTTGTAGCCATAACAATTCACTATTACGACCTCGGTTGGTCTGCTGGTTAGCGCAAGTGACGGTTGACCCAGAGATCCCAAGTTGGAATCTGTGCCAGGGCGAGGAGATTTGCCAGTCTCAGATCTCATTACGTTCATTTTTCCTCATTTGTCTATCCTTTTCTCTCTTCAATTTCTGTCTGTTGTGCCTAGTTGGCAAAAAAGGACGCTTGAACTAACTAAAAAAAATAAAAAATATTTATTTAATCCTTCGTTGCTTTTTATATGTTGAAGAAACATCACGATCAGATATCTCATGCATTCTCTCATGCACACTTATCATCAGGTTTCAATCATTGTGAGAATACATGTAGAGTTCCTTTTTATTGCCTGCACTCCTAAAATTTGCAATTAAAGCCAAAAGTTAGCCTTTTTTGTCTGCCAGAACCTTGACTCTCCTCAGCATTCTCAGTTGAATATTCAAAGCCTTGCAATTCTCTGAAGCAGTTGTTTTGTGTCTCCAAAAATTTGCCCAATTTGGTAGCACTCTGTATAATGAGGAACTCCTGAAAAGATGAGAAACAGAGGAACTTACTTGCATTGAAATGTTTCATAGGTAGTTTTGATTGACAATATATTTCTGCATTTGATAGCGGAAGCGAATGTTTTACATGATAAGTTACTGGAAATTTTGATCAAATCATGAGGATACGTAAAAAAATCAGAAAAAAAGGACCCTGCACATCCCTTGTAGGAAGCTGCACCATGACCGAATGCTAATTTATTTATGTCATTGGATTCTCCTCAAGATGCTGATCAACAGTTATAATTGCGCCAACTTTTTACGATGCACCGTTTTCGCAAAAATACCGCCGAGAAGATTCCATTATTCGGCGATGAATAGCCAGAAAGATTCCTCATTTCAGTACTTGGTTGACAAGCGGCTGTGTGTCAACAAGGAAATCATGGGAACTTCCACACCGAGCGGCAGTCTTATCTCGGATTCCGCACGCCGTTTTACTCGACCATCCAAATCAGATTCTTGAGAAGCATAAGAACAGGAAAGTCGTAACGTCAACCGGACGAGAGCGGGAGGGAGATAGCCCCAGAGTCGGCAGGTACAGATAAGAAGATGGACACACGCTACGTTTTTTCCTTATTTACATTGGGCCTGTTCTCAAATGCTTTGTTCGTTTTTATTCATTGTCACCGAATAATTGAATCTTCTCGGCGGTTTTTTTGCAAAAACGGTGCATCGTAGAAAGTTGGCGCAATTATAACTTTTGATCAGGATCTTGAGGAGAATCGAATGACATAAATAAACTAGCATTCGGTCATGGTGCAGCTTCCCATAAGAGGTGTGCGGGGTCCTTTGAAACTTTTCAGGAGAACATGAATAAATTGTCCAATAAACATTTGCAACGTTGCAAAGCAATTAAGTTGCTTCGGTTCTCTTCTCTCTTGGATAAATCTGCTAGCTTTAAGTGACAAACAGACAAAATCCATCAAATTTTTATTGAAAATTTGGTGTTAAGAGTTACCTTAATATTCCGAAAAGAGGGTCAACGTTTCAAAATTTTTCCTAGGAACGTCCCTGACCTCACGACCACCCATCCTTCATACTAAATAAAATTCCACACTTCAAATACCGTCAAGCTAAAGCCAAGAGATGGGCCAAGGCCCCTAAAAAAATGCTCCTATGCCTATACCTATGATACAAACCCCCTACCCCGACCTGGACGTAAGCTAATGACGAGCAACGGCCTAGTCCGTCCGTTTATTTAGAAGAAAAAAAATTGTGCAAATGAATATTCATTCAAGGATCCTCATTTATTTTTGATCCACTCATCTCTCGAATCATAATCTATTCTCATTGCAGCTCACAACTTACGACACTACTGATATACAGTGATGAATGAGTAATAGATATGAAAATTAAGGGCAACCTCGGAAGGCACAACCGCCGGTCGTCGTGAATAGTGTCGCAACTTAAAAAGGAGAAACGGAAAAGATAAAAACGAGGGAAACGTAGGATTCCCTGAACGGGCGATAGGTAAGTCAAGTGTTTGAAGAGGACCTTGTGCGCAGGCCACTTTTCTGTGGTCACTGGAACGTTGCACCACAGTGTATGCCAGGTTATGGAAAACTATTTTTAGCAGGAACAACAATCCTGCCTGCTTATTTAATTTTTCATGTCAGATGTGTTCCTCATTAAATATCCAGACGAGCAACAGGTGGGCATTTCATGAAATTTGAAATCACCAAGAGAAAGCATTCTCAAAGATTTGAGGTAAATCAACTTTACGGAATTAGATAAAGTTGCAGTCTGGTTGGTGTAGCTGTCAGCCATAGCCATAACGAGAGGTGTTTTTCACTCAAAATAGCTCAAAAACAATGAAAACTAGGTGTAATCACATCTAACAAGGAGTCTGCACCCTTTTTTTGTTTCTAATTTTTTAAAAATTTGAGGAGGTTGACGAGGACACCACTGCAACATCTAGGACAGGACCGACTGGATCCACATCCTTGGGGTTAGACATTGGTTGGGCTACGTCTAAGAGAAAGAGGTAGAATAAGAACCTTGGGAGAAACCGGTCAGTGAAAATGGGAGAAATGGAGATCAGTAGCACGAAACTAAGGTGAATGAAGTGTAAAGAAGAAGAAGGAACTAAAGTAAAGGAAAGTGATTTAAACTAATATGAATGTGAAAGGAAAGTCATTTGTTGTAAAGGAATCAACTAGTGAAATAAGGTGAGACAGTTAATGGCTTTGAGCTTCTTTACTTACATGAACTGATATGATTTGTAGGATCTGAAGAAAATTGGAATGTAATGCTTAAAGTTGGTTTTGCGAGGTGGAATATTCCGCTGGTAACTTTCCTAAAATTTAGGGGGACCGGTTATGATATGCATATCTGAAGAGAAGATAGCACCCAGTAGGGAGAAAGTGAGGAAAAATCAAAAAAATAAACACAGAGACTATTAAGATTTAGGTCAAAACGCTAGAATTTGAATGGCACTCCTCTCACACAGCTTGCAGTGGACCAAGTCACTCTACTTTTTCAACGCCGCAATGCATGGAGAGTACTTTTCCAGTTCTCAAAGAGACCCTTTTTGCCAATTTTTTTAAATCTCTTGTGGGTCTTTCAGGACTCATGTGCTAGAATGAAAAAATAGGAATCTAATAGTTTCATTTGAGAAAACGTTTGGCCCCATTCTTATCAAAATCCAGGCAGGTCAGCAAAAGGCTAGGGGGGGCTCTTATTTTTGAAATTTGAGATAAGTTCAGGTCTCCTCCACTCATAATATGCTATAATATGGCCAAATCAAGGATCTGTTTGAAGAAAAAATTTGAAAATTCTTTTAAAGGTGTCCCGAGCGCCCTAAACCGGGTTGCCTTAGTCAGGGAAAACCGGGAAATGTCAGGCAATTTTAAAAAACCAGGGAAAACCTGGAAATGTCAAGAAAAATGACGAAAATGTCAGGGAACAATTGTCGGATCACCTTTACTTGTTGTCCTTTCGACGATTCGAACAACACATTTTGGCTGAAAACTATTTCTAATAGTGTCTTGCTGGCCATCTGGCATATCTTCGATTGTCAGGGAATTTCATCTTCTAATTTCTTTGGCAACCTTGCTTGAAGGGCCCGCATCTAATAATTGGCATTATGCAAAAGTGGGGTCATTTCTCAATGGAAATAATCAAATTTCGGCTCTCTATCTAGGGCAATAAATTTGTTCGTTTCACTGCACCTACAGCCGAAAAGCCGCAAACTGCCAGTTGAGGCGCGGAAACCACCGGAACCACGGAAATTTTTTTTTCCGAAAAGATCTTTGATCTAACCACATTTTAGCATATTTTGGGTGGAGGAGATCCGAACTTTTCTCAACCCTCAAAAATAAGTGCCACCCTACCAAAAGGCCTTTCCTTGTTAGAACTTGACGTTCTTATAATTCAGGTCAAGGAGTATCCTTTTTTTCGGAAAATTTCGTAAAATGGGTGGGTGTCCCACATGAAAATCTACAGGCTGAAAAAACATATTTATTGAACTCTTTAGGATCGGAGTAGATCATGAAAGTTTTGGTTTTAAAGCTCTTTTTCGAGTTGTTTTCCAGAACAAGATAAAAAATGGGTGGTCTGCATCGTCCTATAAAGGAATAATAATAGTCACGCATACTGCGGTACTAGAATGAATCTTTCCATGCACTGGATTTGTGGAAGATCTTGATCCTACCAGAAGGTCTAAATTAGAATATTAAGAATTCTCTGCCTTTTCAAGAGAAATGATCTTTTCTGTAGACGTACAACTTTAAAAAACTTGTTCCTGCATCAAATCTGCTTAGCTCTAGATACATTTATTAATCTCCACAGATTACATTGTACGGCATGTTTGTTTCTGCAATGGCCTTTTTTGCCAGAATATCAGATCCAGCTGTCGGCGGGACTTACATGACACTGCTGAATACTTTGTGCAATCTTGGGGGTACGTGGACCTCAACTGTCGCTTTGTGGTTTGTTGACTCTTTAACTTGGAAGTCTTGTTCCAACAATTCGGCCAATGACTGCAGTACTGTGACTTTGCAGGAGGTATGTATAGTACCATGTTGTTCATGTATTCTGCCGTGCTAAGGAAGAACGCCGTATGAACATTCGAGAGTTGCCTAATTTCCTTCACTAAAATTTCAATTTTAAAGGAAATTTATGAATATTTTTCCTAAAATTTTCAGGAACCTTGGGTAAAATTGGGGAACGAAATTATCTGAAAAATTGGAAGAAAAATATCCTTAAATTTGCCGGGAAATTCGGGTTTTATCGAAGGAAATTTGGCAACCTCTGAAGGTTCATGTGGCGTTATTCCTTAGCACGGCAGTATTGTAGAGGGGCAGTGAGGAAATTGCCGCTGCATCCATGGTTGAACTCAAGTAACAAGTATAATCCTGTAAGACATTGCTAATACTTTGTTAAGCCTTGTCCAATAATGTTGACAAGGGCCAATACTTCATGAATTAATAAAAAAAATACTTACATATGACTTATCGACCACACTGATTCCCGCCACACAGAGTAGCTCCACACTACAACTCTAGCAGGAATGCCCGAGATTTTGCCCACAGATTGTGGTGCTGATCATTGCAGTTACAGATAAACATTAAAGGTGACTGTCTGCAGTATTGTGAAAAAGTGTGTTCTCTACATCAATCTCTTCGTCTTGATACGAAGAATCAGATTTTTGATGGTTTTTTTTGTTTTTTTTTTAGAAGTTCTTTATTATAGTTTAAAGATACATTAATACAGTTGATGATTCTTAATTTTATATTTTATCCTAATTATCTAATCTAAGTCTATATCTATAATATGGAGACCCCGGAACCGCCTGTTGGCATTACGTTGGGGTGTGGGTGAGGGGGTGGCTTTGATACAGTATTGTTTATCTTATCATTGTACATTTTATTCTTATCTTCTAAAGTATTCTTAATGTAATTGTATCCTGAGTTCCAGTATTTCCTATTCTCTAACATAAGTTGTAATATGTTATTTGCACATATTTGATGATTGATTTCCTTCTCTAATTTCTCCCTATCTTTTTCGTTTAATTTACAAGCAAAAAATGTGTGTTCAGGAGTATCTAATTCCCCGCAGGAGCACAGAGGAGAATCCGTGAGATGTCTTTTATCCAAATAGCTTCCGTATGCGCCATGTCCGGACATATACTGAGTCAGATAGAAATCAGGGTAGCCGTGAGTTCTACCCAGCCAGGCATCTAAATCATTTAGTACTGTTTTTATCCATTTGTTTCCAGTTTCTTTTTCCCAAATTTCTCGCCATTTGTCTCTAATTTCGCTTTCTACAGTTAGTTTATTCTCTCCTCTTGCTATTCTTAGTTTTAGTTCAACGAGGAGCCTGGCTGGAAGAACCCCCGATATTACATCTTGGGCAAAGTTTGATATCGAGTTATAGCCGCAGATTAAAGTCTTTTTTAAGGGTCGAATAGAAGTTTCAATTAGTTTTATAGATTTTTCCATTGTGTAGCAGTTATCCAAATAATTATGCCGTAAAAGAGGATTGATAAGAGGGAATGAAATATTATTTTTCTTTTATGAAAAGTGGGACCGAACGTGTTAGGTAGAATTCTACTATAATAATTGGCAGTTTTATTTAATTTTTTACAAGTCATTTCCAAGTGTTTATTAAAATTTAAATTTTTTGTGAGATAGAAGCCCAGGTATTTAAGTGTTTCTTTGGTTTCGATTTCAGTTTCATCTACTTTTATTTTGGCTTTAGAATTCTCTTTTTTACCGGCCAATATTAATGCTTCTGTTTTGCTCTCCTCGAGACTCAGATTTTTCTTTTTTAATCGCTTTTTCATTCTTTTAGTGGTGATTTCTGTTTCTGTTAAAAGAGAGGTTCTATTTTCAGATTCAAAGGCTAAGAGCGTGTCGTCTGCGTAAACATTTTTCTCTGTACCGTTACTAAGTCTTAATCTAACAATTTCATCAAAGATAATTAAAAATATCAAGGGGCCAAGGATACTCCCCTGTGCTCCCCCGGAGTTCAGCTTAACTTTAAATTCGGGGAACACTAAAAATCTATTCGATAAATATGATTTCATAATTCTAATAAGATAGGGGGTTACATTTCTTTTACATAAGGTAGTGATAAAGTCAATCCAACTAATACTATTAAATGCATTTTTAATGTCTAATGAAACTAAACAAGGAGTCCTCTTTTGCCTAGTGGTTTCCTCATATGATAGTCATAAATTCGTTTAACTGATTCCATGGCTGTGATGGTTGACTTTCCTTTCCTAAATCCATGTTGTCTCAGATCAAAATTGAAAGAATTATTAAGCCTCATTGAGATAATGTGTTCGAAGATTTTCGACAGCGTTTTAATTGAACATATAGGTCTATAACTTTTTTGAGCACCTGGTTTATTTTTAGGGAATAGGATCAATTTTGCTTCTTTCCAGGCTTCAGGAAAAACGCCCTCTCTCAGAAGAACATTACACATATTAGTGAATTTCTTTAAGTTGGTGTCTATGAATAATTTAGTAATTAGTGGTAATATATTGTCCGGGCCCGGGGCTTTTCCATTTTTGAGCTTTTTCATAGCTAGGCGCATCACTTCTAAGGTTATTTCATGAATTTCTGATTTGTCTACTTTGGTATCGCTCCAGACCACTTCATTGTGGTCTGGGAAGAGTTTTGTTATTTCATTTAATAGTTCTTCTTCTGAGAGAGTGCATTCGTCATGTGCTCTAGGATTTTTTAGGCGGTGTCTAAATATTTTATAGCCTTTACCCCATATGTCGGTATCCAATTCGTTAAGTAATTCTACATATTTCTTCTTCTTTGAATCTTTTATTTTAGTCGTGAGTTCTTTTTTCAGTGATTCTAGTTCTGCTAGTTTGCGTAGAAGAGGTAATTTTTTTCTTCTTAATTCCATAATTTTACGTCTAAGCTGTTGACAATTTTTCCTGATTTTTCCTATTTCTTTGCTCCACCAGTATAAAGGAGTACGGGGAGTAGTTGAAGACTTTTTCACAAAAATCACATCTGAGGCTTCTGTAATAATTTTTTCACATAAAAAGGGGGTTAATTCGGTATCTGTGCAATATTTGGAGGTAAGTTCCTTAACTGTTTATACAAAATCCGGCAATTTTTCTTTATTTATGTACCATCCTGAATTCTTAGTTATAGCAGTGGGATGTTTCTGTGCATCTTCATTTATGATATTAACTATTATACTTCTGTGTTCAGAAAGCACATAAGAATCTAAGACTTCAATTTTGACTCTCTCTGTAAGATCGGCACTTGAGATAACTAGATCTGGAATCGATTGATATCCTCTTGAGTTGATAAAGGTGGGGATAAATTTTTCATGGTTGTTATGAATTACTAACTCATTTTCATAAATCCAATCTTCTATCAATCTGCCTCTTGGATTATATTTTAAATCACCCCAGGCGGGTGATCTGCCATTAAAATCTCCTAATATTAAAAAAGATCCCTTTATTCTTTTTATTCTGGTTTCTAAAATGAAAAGTGCTTTCTTAAGTTCTACGTTATTATTATTAGGTGAAAGATAAATGCCTATAATTGTGATTTCTCGCCATTCAAAAATGATGTAGAAAGGGCCGGCTTCCCAATTTTTGATTGAACCTATAAGACTTCTATTTGTACTAGCAGTTACCCATTGATCTATACTTGAGTAATAATTATCATAATTTGCCTTATTTGCATTTGGTTCTGTGATGATGCAACCTCCTAGTTTGCGTTTATTTACAATATCTTTAAGTAATTCTTGTGATAAAGGATTCGTATTTACATTGCCAAGTAGAAGAGAAAGTCCGAAATCATTTATATTATTGTTATGCTTGAATATTTTTTCTGAATCAGCATTTTCAGATTGAAAGCGTGTTAAGTTCAAAGTGTTATTTGGGGGAGCGTGGGAGACCAGTATTTCCTTTATATCTACTTTTTTATTTATTAATTTATCTCTCGCTGTTAGGAACGTGTCGTCTTCGTCACTTTGATCCGAGTCGTGTTTACTGTTATAATGAGTTCTAATATTATCAGCGTCACCTATATTATTGCTGATATTTGACCAAATGTGAGGTGTCAATAAAGGTCTTATCAATCTTCCACCTGGCAATACTAATGGCGGTAGAAAGGCGTCTTTGCATTTTTTGCATTTTTTCACCTTAAGATTATGCATGCACCAGATACTATTTAAATCTTCATAAATTCTACTATCGAAACAAATCATACATTTAGAAATGGGTCTCGTGTGTTGACAAATAAGTTCATCATTCTGTTTTCTGTTAGTAGCGTCTGTGTTTAAGATTTCGAAACGATTCGATGAGAAAATGGAGTCTTCTCTTCTACAATTGTTGTTGTTTCCTAGCATGAATATGATGTGTCATCAGTCTCCATGCCTGTGTTGATACGTTGATACTGGAAACTGCCCTCCTTTGAAGTGCTTAATTCTTCCTCGGGTTTTTCAAACATGCCTGCCAGCCTCCTTGCCCTCTCCATTGCCTTCCTGTATATAATGCATTTTCCTTCGTCGAACATGTGATGATTTGTTTCCTTCTTTCCTTCTCGCTCACAGTTTATGCATTTCTTCATTTTCCTGTCCTTACAGTCCTTGTTTTTATGTTCTGTACTGCCGCACGACCAACACATTTCCTTCTCTTCGCATGATTTGGTGCTGTGATACACCGATCCGCATTTCCCACAGGGGGTAACCACCGCTGTAGGGAAGATGGGGCAGTTACTGAATCCTATAAAAATCTTTGATTTAGTAGCCAGAAATCTTCCCAGTCCGTTTTTTGCCCTGATCAGGATCCATCTCGTTACATCTTCTCTTTCATTTCGGGTCCAAGTTCGTTTTCTGTCTGCAAAAACAGTAATAGACTCTCTAACTCTTTCTTCGGTCCATCCCGCAATACCTTTCATGTTCTTGATGTATATATGATAGGGAATACGTTCGGTTGATATGTCCTCATCTACATAATTTATCCGGAAAACAGTTCCTGTTGGTCTGACAGGCTGTATTTTCATTTCCTCTTGCTTTAGTTCCTC